TATAAAAATAAACAATTTACATACAGGCATCAAGCGTCCGCTGCTATCTTTTCAATTTCATCAACATCATCGGCATCTAGAAGATTGATTTTACGACCTGTAAAGAAAGATGTGCACATTGAATTTGCATGTTTGGCATTACTCTACATGAAAGATGTATTTGTTTGCTTAAGTACTTACCAAAGTGGTGCTCAATTTGTTTTAAGACTTCCATGCTCTCAGGACTATCAATCAAATTAATAGCTAGGCCAGCTTTACCAAACCGACCAGTTCTACCAATTCTGTGGAGATAGGTTTCACAATCAGCTCGTCTTTGGAGATCAATTGGCAGGTCAAAATTAACAACAATTGTGACCTGCTCAACATCAATCCCTGAAATTATAAGAGTCAAATTTCACTAATTTTGAAAATGAAATGCATCTAGGCAGAGAATTAGATAAGTAATAAATTATACCTCTGGATAAAACATTCGTAGTGATAAGAACTTTTTCTTTCCCTTCACGGAAACGGTCGAGAACAGCTATCCGCTGCTCAACTGTCAGGTCACCAGACAAGAGTGCAACGGCATGGCCATCCTTAGTCATACGTTCCACAAGCCATTGAGCAGTTTTGCGAGTCTAGAGAGATAAAACAGAATTTAGTGTTTAACTTAAAACACAGCAGAGTAAAATGGCACTAATTAATGGATTACACCTACATGACAAAAAATCATAGCTTGTCCTATAGTTACAACACCATAAATATTTGCTATGGCTTGGTATTTTTCATCTTGATGTTTACATTGTACATAATACTGTTTGATGTTGTCAAGACTTTCTTCTTCCCGCTTTAATCTGATGACTACAGGGTTTGTTACAATTGCTTCTGCAAACTCCATTACATCATGCTCGTAAGTTGCAGAGAAGAACATCATCTGACATGATCTTGACAAAGCTCTTAAAAAAGAAAAGCACAATTGTTGAAAATATGAATAGGGGAAAAGATAAAAATATAGAAAACAAGAAAACTTTACTTACTTGTGGATCCTAAAGCTTTGGTCTTGATGGCCTTGGGTAGCTATCATCACATCAGCCTCATCCAAAACAAAAACTGATATTTTACTAAGATCAAAGAACCTGAATTTGATGGCCCAGTCAACTACTTTTCCAGGTGTTCCAATTATTATATGCTCTGTTAACTTGGTTCCTCGGGGCACTTGTGAAAGAACGCAAAATAAACTTAGTATAGAACAAATCATTAAAAATGAAAAAAAAAAACACTATCTCAACATTATGCAGTTTGGGAGAAACTAGAGTAACATCTTACCTTCCTCGCCCCTGACAGCATATCTAATTTTAATCTCCGGGCAAAACTGTGCCATTTTTGCTGCTACTTCACCAGTTTGAATAGCAAGCTCATAAGTAGGTGACAGACATAAGGCCTGAGTATAATTTTTGTTGACGTCAACCCTGCTTAGCATTGCCAAAACAAATGCAGCAGTTTTTCCAGTTCCTGACTGAGACTGAGCTATCATGTTCTGAGGCCTTTAGCATTAAAAAGAGAAAAAATATTTTATGAACTTGAAATTTGAAAGAAAGTAATGCAATTGTAATTTGCTTACGGGTCTGCAAGGAGCAACGGCAACGCTGACTCCTGGATTTTAGATGGGGCGTTAAATCCCATTTGAAAAACTCCTTTCAGCAGATTGGGTTTCCTAAGATAAACAAAATTGAATTAGAAAAATGCATTGTGCAAAAGACAAATTCATCTCAAAAGGTTAACAGAGAAAATTTTAAATTGACACTTTGAAACACTTACAAATGAAGCGCCTCGAAGCTTTTAACGGAGTATAAGGGAGACGTAGGGTCTTTCCTTTGGATTTCGATGTCATTTTTATTTTCAACGAGACCTTTACGGATGATCTTTTGAAGCAGCGACCTCTCAGCTGGAGAAACCGGTTTCTCCTCATCGTCCCCGCCACCACTAGCAGGGGTGCCCTCGGAATCGTTCGGGGGTGTAATATCTGTGGTGGTCAGCTGAAATAAGAAGAAAACCGAATAAAGGTAAGCAAAAAAGGAGGGACACGCGATTACATTTCAACCAACTGACAGGCGGGATTAACTTTGCTGATCCATGACCTAACCCCATCGCACATTTGCAACGGCCGTACCCTGTAAGTTGTTACGCTTATGCTTAATCTTACGTACCTTTTTGACTAACTTCTCCTGCTCTTCCGCACTTTTGGCCCAGTTCGAAGCCATCTTCGTGTATTACTTTGATAAATGTGATAAAGTGATAAACTTCACGCACGCCACCGGTCCTAACGGAACCGAAACTGAAGCCCACTGCCCACTGCCGTGCCTTGAATGGGGGAATGAGGAATGGACTGGCTCTAGAGAATCTAAAGTGGGCCCGGGGAGGGGGGGGGGGGCTGATTCGCAACGTGTACGTGAATCACGGGTCGGTTGTCGTCGTCTGCTTGCCGATGAAGGAAGAGTCTGACATGATGATCTCAACAGACTAGCCAGGAAACTTAGAATCATTTTCAAGGTCGAATCTATGATCTTTCTCTGAGCTACACCAGTCCTTTTGAACGTATTTCTATTCATTATACCGCAGGCACGTCCGGTTCTTACTGACAAGCATAGTCTGACAAGTTGTGCAAGACACAAGAACTTTGGACACAGTTTATCAGAAGATCTTTACCTTGCAAAAGTCTTTGCATTGCATCATTACGTTTCAGCAGGTTTCAGGTAAGATACCCTCCTTCTGGTAAGAGAATTACAGATTTTGACTTAGTTAGTATTGGTGTTGATAAATATTTGTATCAAAAGATTAAGCTATATATATTTGAAGCATGTTATCCAGGCCAATACAATAGAAAAATTACTGTCAATTTTACAGAAAATCTTTAATCATGCCACTCGAAGATTACAAAGGTATTGTTGGAGCTGCTGCAAGTGTTGTGACTATCGCTCAAATTTTTTCTGGAGTGTAAGTACTAAGTTTAAGCTGGTGGCTAGTGGCGCTCAGCTATATTTTGTCGATTTGGGTGCAATATTCTTGTGGGAACAATAATAATTCCTTATTTTTCCCCAGATTTGTGTGTAAAGATATAGTAAGGAAGGGAAACACCAAAAATGTTCAATCTGCCCCATTTATTGGTGGCATTGGATTGTATGTATTCTACCCTTTTCTTTAGTGTTCATCATGGGAAGATGGAACATTGGCTTATGTACATGTCTATGTCTTTTTTATGCAGATCTGTTTTGTTCTTCAAGTATGCTGATTTGATCAATGATCCCGGAATGTACCCTGTGAATATTGTTGGCGCGGTTCTGAACATTGCATATCTATCCTGCTTTTACATCTACACAAATGAAAAGGTATTTTTTTATAGATTTCTCTTTACAACTTTCGGTATGGTATACCAAGCCAGAAATGTTACATCTACTTGACATTGATTCGACAAATAGACCCCAAGATTTTTGCCATAGAGCAGATGTGACGTTTCTGGCTGGGGTGTCCAGAATAATTGTATCATTCTTTACTGTTATTGGCAACATTATTAAATTATCCATATGCATTTCAGACTGATGTCATCAAAGGAATCTTGAAAGCCAGTGTATTCTTTGGGTCAATTCTTTTGTATATTAATCTTGAAAACCCAGAATTAGTGTTATTTAGATTTGGGATCATTACAACAGTTTTAATGCTTCTCCTCGTTGCATCACCTTTAGCTCAATTGGTATGGCTCAGCTGATATTATAAAAATTTGAGTCTATGGTAAACATCTATCAAATGTCTATGATACTGGTACTGTTGCAGGGCGAAGTGATCCGCACTGAGAGCACAGAATGCTTACCTTTCCCGATGATATTAATGGGCACAATTTCAGCTTTCTGTTGGCTGTTGTATGGTATCATTCTCAGTGATGCTTTCATTCAGGTAATATTAGTTCTCTGTTTCAGAAGAGACATTTTAATAGTACATGACTCCTCAATTTTCTCATGACTTAAATTTTTTGTTTCAGATTCAGAACCTTGTTGCTTTTTTGTTGTCAGTAGCACAACTCTCTCTCTTTGTAATTTATCCAAGCAAACCCGTTTCTGAAAAGAAGAAGAATTGAGTAGAAAGTTGGAACTACTTAGGTTGGTTGCAACTTGGCATGAATTGGAAAGTATATCAACCCCTAAATGTAGATTGATAGAGGCTGTTTTTTTGTGAATACTATGGATATCTAGCATCGTCGGCTTGCTCAAACTAAGTACAAAAAGTTTATGAATGACTCGTGCGAAATTATTCAAGTGGTTCTCACTTTCTATTTTCTAATACATTATAGATTGTCATCCTCTAAGTGCATGTATGAAGACAAAACTGTGATATAAAAATGTACCTCCCCGACCCTAGTGTGTGTATGACTAAGGAAATTCAAAATATTGATTGAATCAAATTATTGAACAAAATTGAAACCTCAAAGCCTGTTTTTCTGAAGTCAGTATGAGAACCGCCTATACTACTGATTTTTGTTTTTAATTTAGGCTACAACCTGTAACCTTTCTAATTCAATAGTATTGCATGTATTCTATGACTAGGTTAACAAACTGTAAGAAAAGAAGAACTCTGTGAAAATACTGCTAACAGTATTATAATTTTTACCAGCATGTTTTTTTTAACAGTATGTACATCCAATTTTTTCCTACAATCATTCCCAATGTGTGGATGTTTTTTATGTGTGAATATTTTTGTAAGCAAGAACAACACTTTTTAAATTGGTACTTGTTGATAGAAAATTGTTTTAAATGACATTGAATTTGTAAGATTGTGCTATCAAGGATTATTCTTGATTTCAGTGTCTCATCTACCACCTACGAAGATCAAAGAAAGTGTCTATCATCTTTCCTTCTAGATAATAAATGAATACCTTCCAAGGATAAAACATCTGCTTTTCCTAATGTAATTCTTATGCACGACAAGCATCCAACATTTCCTTTTTTTTTTTTTACAAACTTCTCAAAATTGCTCAATACTTCCCTTTTCAAAATAAA